CAGTAAACAATATCTCAAATATCGTACAAAATCGTTTGTTTATGAATTTTTATTGATGAACCGTTGCAAATATGGAAAAAAGTTCGAGGACTCACTCCCCCTAAAGTCATGCTTATTTTATAGGAAAACATTTGTAACGAGATTTTGTCGTTACGGGTTGAAATCCCCTTAAAAACATATATGAACTCTTAACTCAGTGAAGAGAGATAGTTAGTGACATCTAGAGGTGGCTGAAGAAAGCCGGGACTAGATGAATTGAGCGACAAACCGATGAAAGACCTAAAGCATAGCAGTTATGGGTGAAACCGCGACCCCTGGAGGTCTGGAGGAGGTTACTAGACTATCGCTATTTTGGGATTCGCCCAGCATGTGCTAGGGGAAAAGGGGCCGACGTATAGGCTGTCCAACTGGGCGATACCATAGGTTATTTCAGAGTAGACTAGGGACCAACGGCCAGGTGAGAGGACTGGTGCCCCCGGGATCCCGTCGGGTTGATTGGTGGGGATATGGTAACGGAATGACCTATCGTCGCTGAGATATCCAGACTAGGGGGGGGGAACTTTTAGTGACGAAGTTGTTGTTTCCAGCGTTATCCTGCTCGGCGAAACAAATGACGAGCGCATGGGCCCGTGGGTCTGGAGTAGAGATCGTCCTGCTGTCGACCCGACCATGTGCCGCCATTCGAGTACCCGGAGACGGTGATGTGCGATGACCGAAGCGATAACTGGTGGCCGAGAGTGTGGGTGGTCGTGAAGTGGGTAACAGTGTTCCACTTTGGTCAGATCAGCCTCTCGGCTTCCCAGGCTCTGAGGAGTCCCGGCTGATTCGCATTTAACTCTCAAACACTCCCGAGTCGAAATACTCGGGAGGAGAAAGCCTACCGAGAGTGAAAAACCCTCCAGGATGAGTGTAAATTCAATTTGCATGGATGATTAGGCCGTGAGGCTTAATTTCCAGCCTGGAATAGTGGCTGATGACGTTTGGCATAGGATACTCCTGGTGGACCTCGCCCACTCTACCGTGTCACACTCATGCTGGCTGGGCAACCCATTGCCCAGCCATAGAAGTCCTCTGAGTGGACGAGTTTGCCTCAGAGGCCGGTTTTCGTCGAACCCCTCGTGAAGGTTCGGCTGGCGCCCAATTATTGAGCGATAGAGACGGCATAACAAGTAGTTTGGATTTTTCCTGGGTGAACAACCCGGGAAAATATCCTTAGAGATTTTTCTGGCCGGAGAAGTTGAGTTTTTAATTGTTTATTAATAATTTGTTGATGAAAAAAATCACAGGAGTTCGATTTGAAGACCTCGAAATCCGGATTCAGACGGTCAAAAAACATGGAATTTAGTGAATCAATTTTTTCGACTTGAAATTGTGACGAGGCATATTTTGTTGAATTTCCCCTACACAATTAGTCCCCTAAATATTCATTTCCTGCCATTGTTGGTCATCTTATTTTCCCGAGCATTTCCCTTCATCCCCCCTTAATCCTTCCCCCTGGAAGCAGGGAAAAGACCACCCGAAGGAAGTCAACATCACCGGCCTATGAATCCGCTCGACAAGAACCTGTGTCCCCGCAAAAATACCTACAAACGTCCCTCGATAACACTCATCATCAGCCGCCCACCAGACTATGCTCATGGGATATTCCCCTTGGCCCCCCGCAGAGAGCTAAGACAGGTGACGATAAATCACGAAATGATACGAAAGGGAAAAACGAAGGAATACGAATAGGTGCGAAGAAAGCGAAAAGGACGAGAACAGAAGAAGGAAGAATCACTCGTACCCCAGCTGCCCCGAGTGTTACCACGTGCTCCGAAAACTGTTACCCGAGAGGCCCAGTAATCTTGTGTGTTCGAGAAGAATTTAGCAAGAGGGAAATTGTGAAGTAATAGAGCTTCTTGCCAGCACATCCAAGTTGTGTCCAGGAGTCTCCGAAATGGAAAGGAGGCTCACGCCCAGGAAATAAACCCTGGAACAATTGAGGATTCTTCATTGTCGCCCCGAGGTTCCCGAGTCGCAACCCCGTGGTCGTGAATACTGGTTGCCTTGCCCATTTTTCCATCATTTCCTTTTTCCCCAATGATTTCCCCCCAACGGTGAGCCCACAATTTTATTTTATTGTCCCCGTAGAATTTAATCGGATTAATTATTATTGTATTGCTTCTATTTTGAATTCCTCAGACACGACTAACTTCCCCCCTTTTGATTTCATCCTAGAATCGCTCCCTTTAGAACGTATCCAAAACAGCCTGGCCTTACCCATTCCCCTAGATCAATATTAAAAGGCAATTCACAGTTGTCAATTGTCAGTAAGAAGAATATTGAAAGAAAATATATTCGTCCTGTTGAATTTACCTTTCATTTGTACTAGTTTATTTAAAATTCCTGATCCTCATTTATAGTACATTAGAGTACAAGGGCACAAATTTCGTTTTCAACGAATGTGTAGTTTACAGGCCGAGCCGAAGGCGAGGTCTGTACACACATTCGTTAGAAACGAAATTTATTATCGAGTGCTCTATAATATTTTATGTCAAATCATGCAGAAGTCGAGTTGTGAGCAGGCTGCGCGAAGCGCAGCGTGCGATGAACTCGACTTATTGCACGGCGCGACATAAAGGTATTAATTAGTGTCAAATAATCCACGGTTACAAAATGTATGCAAACACCTCCCCCCAGCTAATGGACTTTGACTGAGGTAATAATGCGAAGCCGAAACTATTGGAACTAGAAATATGAAAATTGTAGGGAAGCTTTTATACCTGATGTGAGCACTCATAAAAAAGGAATGCATTTAGAAACTCCAAAGATGATCGCTGATCTCCTAAAAAATCAGAGAATTGTTGGCTTTTTTTCAACTTTGAGATAATTCGGGTTTTTTTTTCCGAAGAATTCAAGTGAATAATGAGGTTTTCTAAAGGAATGTGAGAAAATCCGCGGGTTTTTCAAAAATTAGATCAAATATTTCAAAATATGTGAATGAACAATGGGAAAACTATTGATAGACGAGGGTGAAAATTGCAAATAACACTGTTGGGGAGGTTTCACGTGACTCTTAGTACTGCACTTTGGTTGAAAAAAGAAAAAAAATAATTTTGAAAATTTGAGAAATTCTTCGGATTTTCTCAACAATGTTATGAGGTTTTGGAATTAAAAACAAATTCACAAGTTTTTCTGGATTTTATGGCAAATTTGAAAAAATTTCAGGTGATTCGTGAAAGTTTTAAGTTTATGGAATCGTCGAATAAAATTGTGAAAAAAATCGTGAATGAGGAGAAGATTCTCCAAATTAGTGATAGAGCATCAGAATTGGTCATATAATTTATTTCATCATTTATTCGATACTGCTTCTGGTACATGGTACCATTTTACAGGTTGCATGGCAATATATATATTGTGACGGACTGACTGTTGAGGGCTCAAGCCCAGGTCGCAAGATTTATTTACTCTTGTCACAATAACGATTTTACACACTCCAGATTATTTACAACTCTCAAGACTCTTTTATTCGTCAGCTGAAGGCTGTTATTCTAATCCAAAGGGGTGGAGTAGGGATTAAGAAAGGGAAGAATTCGATCACTTTCGAGTCTCGTTTCACGTTGGAGAACCCGTCTCCCCTTTTCCAATAATACTCGTTTCACTCGATTATTATTGGAAAAGGGGAGACGGGTTCTCTAGAGGTAATTAAAATCCACGTGTTACCGTGAATGGTCCTGGGTTTAACCTCAAACTCGTCTTCCGGATCGTCGACGATCCCTCGATATCAGACAGCAGACCGCCTTCGCCGGTCACTGGCTCGAGCCTTTTCCTCCTCACTGATTTCATCCACCTCGGACTGACGATTTTTCGCTCGTTTTAATTAATAAATTTACAACGATCCCGACATCGGATCGGAGAGAGAGGGAGAGAGAGAGAGAGAGGGGGGGGGGGTAGAGAGGGAGCGAGAAAGAGAGGGAGAGAGGGAGAGATTTTTCGCCCTTCCCCCGCTCCTCATGGCGACACTCGTCACCTGAGATATTTATTTTCTTCCCGGGACGACGGAAGTATCCCAGGTATCAAAAGTGACAGCCGGCGGCGAATTTCGTAAAAACGCCGCTCATCACAGTATATAAATATACATAAATGAAGGAATAATTTAGTGATAAAAGTCACAGAAAAAGAGATATAAAGATACCGAGACAACAACCTAGTATGTCTAGAGGCTCAATACAAGCTGGCAGCAGTAAAAATAAGCAAATAATACCATCAGAACCAATAAAAATTAAATAAAAACAAAATTAAATATGACAAGAAGCGCCAAGTAATAAATGCAATCAAGCAGTGATTCAGTTCCGACGCACGCAATTGGAAGCATTTCTTAAGAAAGCAGTACAGTTTTTTTGTGTCATACTCATTGCTGTTAAGCAAAGAAGAGATTGTAGAAATGGAGGAAAAGTTTGGATTCAACAGATAATTCAGGAGATAGTGGAGTTGGAAAGGAGTGTAGAAAGGACATATAAAAAGGATTTATAGGAGATCTTCGTAGGAGTGCTGGAGGCAAAGGGAGCAGAGCTGATTGGGATCATATTGGTAAAGGATACCGTTGATGATCAGGCTTCTGGAGTGCAAGGTCGCAGACCTCACGTGCGCCCTTCACTCTGGTGAACTCCAGAGAATAACGTCTAGGATAGAAGAATCCAAAGTTGTCCGTCGGGAGTCTGTCCATCTTGATTTGGATGGAGACTGAAAGTCGGTACTGCTCCACGTCATCCAGTCTGGACTGCTACTTCGCGAGCTGAATAATCTCCGGTAATCTCGATTCCCCATACTCCGGGATTAGGTTGCACCACAAGTTCTCACATTTCATGGAGTTCAAGCAGGATCTGCACTACAAGATACAGTTAAACTTGGTGGCAGCTATGATGGTATCATCAGGGGTGGAGTTTGCTAGGGCGATCAACCTCCGCAGACAGATTTTGGGAAGGCCGTGATCCTCCATTCTCAAAAACTCTTGCGACTCATCATAGGGCCTGCCTTAGTACCTTGCAGCGGATATTGTCAACGCCGGTTTCAAGCCTCACCAGATACCCAGGTGCATTCCGAGGGAGTTTCTTTAGGAAGAAGAGTTGAGCATTTTCGAGAGTCCTGAGCTCACCAGCACGAAGGCCCCAGATCCAGCTAGTGTACAGCAGCGTAGAGGCAACGAGGCTATCATATAGCTTACTTATGCCATCCCAGGTGTGCGCCTGAATTCTGAACAGAATATCCAGAGCAGAAGCAGTTGCTGCCTTAGCTTTTCCTGCGGCTGCCTTAGCGGCCCAGGAGCCCATGGACGAGGAAGAGAAGGTGACTCCAAGATATACATATGACCTCACAATGTCCACAGGAGAGCCGTTGAAGGCGAAGGCATGGCTGGCCTTGGGTAATGGACCGCCTCTCCTGAAGCCCATAATTTTCGTCTTGCCGATGTTTATAGTCAGGCTGTTCTCCTCGCAATAACTCTCTAAAACACCCAATTTCCTCCTCAAGTCCACCGGGCTGTTGGCAAAAATAACCAGGTCGTCAGCGTAAAGCAACATTGGAACCTGGGTCCTCGCGTCAACGTCAACTTCCACATCACCATTGATATTGAAGAACGACACTATGTCCGAGAGAAAGAGGTTGAAGAAGAGCCGGCTTAGCTTTTTCCGCTGCAGAATACATTCACTAACGTTCACCAGATCTGGGAGGCCCTCAGATGTCCTGATTTGAATTGAGGCCCGGTCATAGAGACGCTTGATGTTGCGAATTTTCTTGAAGTTTACTCCGAGATGGGCAAGTTTGGACCAGAGCAGACGATGCCGCAAAGAGTCGAACGCCCTTCTAAAGTCCACAAAGAGGGCGCAGACTTTACCACCAGTTAGCCGCAGGCGTGCTTGGAGAGCTGTCTGAAGGGTGAATGGATTGTCCATTGCACATCTCCGCCTACGGAAACCTGCTCGCTCCTCTGGAATCATTGTAATTCCGCCCTTCTGTAGATTCGCTTATTGACAATTTTAATGAAGATCTTGGTGATGTGGTTCACCAACGCAATCCCCCTACAATTCAAAGGATCAGTTGCATTACCCTTTTTGTGTATCATGCAAAGAATGATACGCATCCAAGCATCAGGCACTCGCGCCGCATCAAGCACCTTGTTAAATAGAACGAGAACATAGTTGATCCACACAGATGGAAGAGCTTTGAGGAAATCATTCTTTATGCCGTCCACTCTAGCAGCTTTGTCACGTTTTCCATCTTTAAGACAAGAGCTCAGCTCTAGGAGAGTAATAGCTCAATCCAGTGAGGGAATCGATGTTTCAGGGAGAAAATTTGGGAGTCATCACGTTGAGGGTATTTTTGGCTGAGGAGGGTGCTTCAGTTCTCCAGGAGAATTACCTCAGCTCTCATCGGACGGTCTCGGGTCTTTGTAACAGCCTTTCAGTATAAAGTAGGGCTCCTGGTGTTTGTGAAGCTGTCCAGTATACCTCTCAACCAGGGATTTAAATTCTTTGCTCTTCAAAATATATGCTAATGCTATCTCTCTATTGAAGGAAGGTGAGTAGATTGCCTTGAAGAGCTTTCGAACCTCTCTCTTCAGATGAGTGCATTCATCACTGAACCAGGGCATTTTTTGTTAGAGGCTCAAGCGACCAACGGTGAGAAGTTTTGAGTAAACTCACCATCTTCGCTGTTTCGAGGACAGCATTGGTAAAGTTGACGTTCATGAAGTTGATGCTATCATCCAGGAAGGACTTGGGAGAAGTGGAGAGTCTAGCAGAGGTGGCAAGGTGAGAGGTGAAAGCGGATGATTTTTCGTTGTTCCATCTCAGAATCGAGCCGGAGCATTCCTGAGGGGCACTAGTTCGGAGAAGAACAGGAAGCCTCAGATTGAATCTGCCAATTGAACCAGTAGGTAGAGGAGTAACGAGCCCCAGATGTAATGCCATAAGATTTGAACCAACTAGATCAGGGCATATCGTCATGTCCTGGACCATGTCCAAAGCCAGGTTGCTGATCCTGACCAAGTGCAGTGTGGATGAACCTCTAGAGCTCGAGAATCTCTCGGGACAATTAGAAAAAGTCCTACCATTTAAAAGTGTAAATTGATTGTCCAACATATATTTCCTCAGCATCACTCCCCTGTTATCGGTTCTATCTACCAGAGTGGATCGGTCTGCCAATACCCGAGTTCCTTCCAGAAGCTACAAAGAGAGAGTCCTCGAAGCTATCCATCTGTGCGTTGGCATCCCCTCCCAAAATAAAAATATCATCTTCGTACCTGACATGCACCTCAGAAAACGGAGAGCTCAAGAAGTTGTTGAATCCATCGGTACAGTGGGCTTGAAGTATACAGAGAACACCGTGGCACTCCAGGCACAGGAAGAGATCCCGAAGATGACCCACCAAGGTGTTACTTCAATAGTTTGGGGACTGAGATCCCTGTGAATCAAGCAGAACAGACCACCACTGTCTCGGCCTCTTGATCTGTCCTTCACCGCCTTAGACCATATTACATGATGAGACCTGTGGTGATTGGGAATCATATGAGGAGCTTCTACCAGCAACATAGTTTGAGAAAAGCACATAATCTGTAGATTCGGGGAGAAATCATTTAGAGAAGCGTTTGCCATGCCATTTACATTCCAGAATTTAATACTTAGCGTCACTAGTTTTTTGGAATAGCAGTGGAGGATGGGGCCGGAGAAGCCTCTCTGGGAGAAGCTTCCTTTGAGAGAGGGTTCGACTGCTTGCTCCCCGAGTTCTTCATCAGCTTCTCAGTAAAAAAGTCCCAATGCCACCAGACCCTGTCCACCTGCAGCCAGCTGTATCCCAGCCTCACTTTTCGGCTATCCCCCCTCAAATTCTTGGCCCTTGCTCTGATGACTGAATAGATCTTCTGCTCACGAGGGGTGAGATCCAGATCGATAAATACCTGCAGCCCACGATGATTTGCGAGTTTATGTTTCTCCTTCATTATCTTGTCTCCCGTCTCCTGGTTGATGAGTCTCACAATGAGGAACTTGAAGTTGGTGCCTACCACTCTTGCCTCCAGGGTGACATTTTGTAATTAGAAGTGCTCCAGTAGAAATTATTCGACAGCAGGCTTCGGGGCTGCCGGTTCGTAATTGAGCCCCTTGATTGTCAGGTTATTAGCTCTGAAAGCTCTTTCCTGAGACTCCAATTTGCCATTCAGTTCCATGAATTCACGTTCAAGTGGATCAACCTCAGCCATGCTCGAGTTTTTCTCTAATTTTTCAATTCGGTCGACCCAGGGCTTTGGGAGGGTACCGCTCTCGTGCAATTTCGCAAGCTTTTGCTCTAGGGAGGCAATCTGGCTCAAGATTTCTGCAATTTTCTGGTTGGCCCACTCATTCTTCCTTGTAATAGTTTCCCTGAATTCATCCAGTTGTTTTCGGATGAGCTCATTGTTCTCCCTTATGGAGCGCTCCAAAGCATCGGTCCTGGAGTTACCTTGCAGACACAAATCATTCATCCTTCGCAGAATGGTATCCATTACCTGCCTGTCAGTTCCGGTACTCAGCAGCCGTTCCAGATCATCAGGAGGAAGAGGGGTAGGACCTGGTATAGATGGCACAGGTGTGGGGGAAATAGGCAGCATGATGATCGAGGGTGTCTGGGCTGGAGAGGCAGACATGGTGTAGGGGATTGGGTGAATGAAACTATCAGGAGAGCTGAGGGAGCGATTCAGTTTCTTGGATATATGAGGTGAGGTAGAAATTGGGGAGAGAGGGACACACTCTTCTTCAGGTACATTCCTTTTCCTCTTGTTGATGAAATCACTCAGCGAACCAGTAGAATAACTACGTAGCTTAGTATCCCCTGAAATCACCTTGGAGTATCTCCTTTTTCCTTTAACCAAGCTCTGGAAGGGTAATTTCAGAGTTGAGCAGGATGACAGCTGAGTCAATGGGCTGGTCGGCTTGCTGTCAGACTGGGGAGCTCCAGATGAAGGGACGACATTGGTTACAGCAGGGTCAACGATTCCCTCAATGTTGGATTGTGTTGTGAGTGTGGAGTCCTTTGACTGGCCCAGGATCGGGTCATGAACAGTGGTAGAGTTGTCGTCAAGCACCAAAATTGATGGGATTTTATTCGCGCTCATGCCCCTTTCGCGAATTCAACTTCAAAATTAACTAGGAGTTGAGAAAATCGCCCGGGGCAGATACAATCGAACAATACCAGCGGGGGTTTTCTCACATGCACATGCTAAAAACGTCCGGTTCCGTCGCTACGCACAACAGACCCCCCATTGGTCATATAATTTTCCCAGAAAAATAATTGCACGATTTGCAGCGTAGTATAGGGAGGTGAAGGAGGAGGCGAAGACTGGGAAATTTTGGGCTTTAAGGAATTTTATAATTATTGTTTTCTACTCTGAATAGAATTACGATTATAATTATAATCAAAATGGTACTTAGTGAGCATCGATATTCGAAATTAATGAATCACTTATTGACATATTGAAATGAGATAGGTGATGAACCGACACGCATCGTTTCTATTGATCTCAACACTCAGTACAATAAGAACGACGATGATGATGAGCACCGCCACGGCTTGCGCCTTGCGGCCGCAGCGGCGCTAGTTATAAACAAAAAGAAATCGGTTCAGTGGTTCTCCGGATGTTCACTCCCGGTTAGTCCGCCGTATTTTCTTTCGGTCACCCATCTTTTTACCCACCCAACTGTCTACTGCTTAGCTTTGATGATCGCAGTCTACCCCGGTAGCTTCTGTGCTGTGCAGCTCCTTGTGGCAGGTTACATTTTTTTCCCGCTTGATATGATAGGAAAGGTAAACAGTGGGGTAATATAGGGTAACGGAGGGGGGGACATGATAAGAGAAATTGGAATGAAAGGGACAATGGTCCAGTGGACCAATTAGACAGCGGGGTAAGATGGGAAAGTAGACGTACTATTTACCCGTGGGGCAAAACGAAAAAGCAAGTTAGTTACAGTGAGGCAAAATGGGATAGCGGTTAAATGATATCCTAAAGTAAACCGGAACGATACTCACTTCGACAGTAGGGTAAAGTTGAATAACAAAGTGAATTGGAGTAAAGGGTGAATTAGATAGTGAATTAATTCTTTTTTTTTCACTTTTTTTACTTCTTTAATTTCGCTTTTCAATTTTTTAATTTATGATCCGTTAAATTGAATGATGGAATGAAATTAGATGGTGGGGTGTAAAATTGAATTTCGGAGTAAATTGGACGAGAATGTTATTCACTGCTCAGATTGCAGGGTAAAATGGCGTGAACTAAATAATAGGCCAATTAGTCGGAGGGTTAAATTCGGCGGCAGGGAAATTAAATAATGATGTTTATTTGGATAATCGGGTAAAATTGATAGCGGGGTAAAATGGGTGAGCCTGGCAAATATGAGGATGCCCATGCAGGGCAATACAACGTGGCTGAACATCGGGCCAAACTTGGCGTCAAGTTCCCCGATAGTCGGCTGCGATCTTCGGCAGATGTTCCGCCGAACGTTGGGATGTTACTTCGGGTCACCACAGATACCGATGTACGCTCAACATTGGCGTCGATTATCAGTCAACTATCAGTGAAACAAAATTTTAAAATCGCTCATATATATTAGTTGCCCTAGTTTATAATCGTTTTATAATCCTTCTTATCCATTTCAGTGAACCAAAAAAGAAAAAAATGAAATTGAAAAAAAAATTCCTCCGATGAGATTCGATCGCGAGTCCTTCCGATCTGTAGTCAAGCGCGCTGTCCACTGAGCCATCTGAAATTCTTTACGAGAGATTTTTTTCGGGTATATAAATACCACATTGTGTTTATCTTTGAATCCCCGAATGTGATTATCAACAATTAATTAACGAAGGTGCAACTCCGATGAGAAGATTTAATTAATGAATTTACTATTCCTAAAATTTTGAAACTTTCATTCGGGGTATTCTCTATATTAAGAAAGGCGATGATGCATACTATCCA